ATCGAGCCCCACATCGGGCTCCCTGCTCAGCGGGAAGCCTGCTTCTCCCTCTCCCACTCCCCCTGCTTGTGTTCCCTCTTTTGCTGTGTCTCTGTCTGTCAAATAAATAAATAAAATCTTAAAAAAATTAAAAAACCATGATGGGTAAAATAAGAAATCAAAGGAACTAAGACATCTGATCCCTAACACTGAGCCAGGGTATCCCTACTCCTGAGTCCCATGACCATGTTGCTACGCAAACCACTATCACAGCATTTTCCCACACTATAGTTAAACTTCCTATTTATGTATATTTCCCTGGTAGACAATAGACTCCTCAGACACATGATCACATCTTACTTATTTTTGTACCCAAGCCTTAGCATAGTTCCCGAGACACCAAACACATTCAATAAAATGTCTGCAAGAGCTTAACTGTTAGCTTGAGATCAAAAAGCAGTACACACACACACACACAAGTATAAGAGCTTAGACTCTGCAGTAGATCATTTAGGTTAAATCCAGACTCTACCATTTACCAGTAGTGTGGTGTTGGGTAAGTTATTTAATGCCTCTGTGCCTCAATGTCCTGACCTATAAAAAAGGCAGGTAACAGTACCTATCACAGAGTGTTGCAAAAGTTGACATTTCATGCAAAACACTTAGTACAGTACTTGTACACGGTAAGCATTCATATTTAGCTATCCTCATTGCTACAGTTATAATCTCCTTGCTTCCTCTTCCATGAATAGAGAAATGTTCAAAAAGGAAAAGGATTTCCAATTATTTGTTGTGGTCCTTAAGCTCTGGAACACAAAAACAGATCATGTTCCTTCAAGTCTAAAAGCAAGGGGGTAAAAATAAGGAATATAATTTTGATGTATCTAGTAAGTGAAATTAGTATTTAAAAAAATAAATTTAGCAGTGTTTTTTTTTTTTTTTTTTTAAATCCCCAATAATAACGGAATCATTTCAAATCAAGTGTTGATTGTAGGGGGTTTGGGGCAGGGGGAGCGGGATTAGGGGAGAAAGGGAATAGGAAGAGGGGAAAAGAATCTGAACAAGTCTCTTACATATTACAAAATGTATATTTTGCTAACTTTTACTTAGCTAGGTACTGGCAAACACAGGTAGACAGAAGAGTGACATTTAGAAATTAAATTGTAACACAACTGTTTATCATGTTCATTTCTAAGTGAAATTTATTATGTTCATTTCATTTCACTTGTAAGGCATCAATTTTCTCCAGCAGGTCTTATATGTCTATATTTTCCCATATTATGGGCTATCATTTCAAAACCTAGTAAGTTTATCACTTTATAGAGAATCTTGATATTTGTCCTAACTTACCCACAAGTAGCTACAATTTCTGAGACTAACCAAGCCATTACCTGATAATAAGATAATAAAAGCACATACTTTTAAAAAGATTATTATTTTCTTTGTTTAAGTGTACATGTGAACGCACTAGGTGGCTAACAAACAAAACAAGCCCTCTTTCAGCTTCTGTCTGGTTGGTGTCAGGCTTGGCATGCATAAAGCTCAAACTTCTCTGTATTCTGATTTTTATTCAGGAGTGGAATACAGGGCTCAAACTCAAATGCTGACAGCTCATCAAGAATTTAATCAAGAGAAAGCATGGCAAGGTGAAAACACAACATGTGAAATTTTCTATTTTGACAGTTTCCTTTCAACTGCTTTTACAGGTTTACCCTTCATATAAACTGTGTGCTCTAGTGTAGACAACCTGTTTAAGGTCTATGTCGTGCATGACTGCCATTTTAAGAAAAGGAAGGTAGAATTATGAAGTAAGTTAACTGTGGGAAAATAGTATACAGACTTCAAACTTTTCTAGGTAAAAAATAGTTTTTACTACTTAGTAAAAAAGTAACACACTTTAAAAAAAGCAAACAGGATTAGAGAATTAATCTTTCCACATGTAAGCACCATTAAGAATCCCTTATTTTTCTCAGAGCTGTCAGGTTTTTAATAATTGGGGGCCGTGTCACTCAAAAACTGTCAGTATGGAGAACGGAGCTAAAGAGTAGAAGAAAGCCGTAACATTTTTTAAACTGGAAATTAAGGTCTGTGAGAGAAGTCTAAAAATATTTTAAAATAGCACAAGAGTAAGCTGCATAATTAGATAACATACAAGTAAAAGAAAGGATTCTTACACAGAACATAAGAGTGATAACGAAGTTTTCTGACTGGAACACTAGTTCTTAACTATTAAGAAAAAGATAAAACAAAATAAACACTATGAAAAGCCTCAACCCCCAGAGATATTGATTAACTAACCTTTGTAGAGCCCTAATTTTTTAAAACATTTCTAAGTTGTTCCTAATGGGCAGCCAGTTGAGAGCCACTGGGCTGAAACGCCACAATAGGTCATCAAAATAATGGAATTTCCCTTCCAGCAGGTCCTTAAAATGGGCTCTATTCTCATATCAGGCCTGTTTATCATTAGAGAACATCAAGACTTCTGCACTCTGTTTACCATGCATTGTTTCCTCCACTTGATTCACGCATGAAACCTTCACAATCTACCTTGTCCTCAGCATGGTATGAGATGTTTACGAAGTTCACTGCTGAATCTGATGTCATAGCTGAAACTCCCTCCTACAGGACCTCTCCAGAAGATAAAACACCGGGCACTCTTGATTCTCAAAATTCTCCCTTACCATCCCCTATTTTCTGGCTTCCGAGACACCTTTCCTATGTTCTCCTGTCATCTCAAATACTGCTTTCTGCTCCTTAAACTGGAAGTACTTAACTGAAATCCATGACAGTCCCTGAAAAGCTCAACAATAGGTTCCAGAGGTGAGGAACTCCTTGAAATTGTATACACACAAATTTGGATGCATACCTAAGGCCTTTTTTTTTTTTTTTCATATTCTCAATGAGTTTAGGATCCCCGAAGGTTATAAACCACTGCCATAAATCCTTTTTTTCTTTAAGCTTTCCAGGCTTCAATTGTTATCTATGAGCTTATGGCTCCTACATCAATCCTAACCTATCAGAGATCTGAATCCATATTCCTAACAGGCTGTTTGGCATATTTATTAAATTAAACCAACATATCCAAAATTAATCAGTCCCCTCAGAAATACTTGTGGTCTCCTTAATTCTTAATTTCAGTCAATGGAGCCACCCTCCAACATTCACACACCTAAGTCAGATTTCAGAATAATCCTTCAGCTCTTCTTTTTCTCTTTACCCAGTTAAATTTTCATCTAGCTTCTTTTCTGCCTCCAGAGCATCAGCATTTTATTTTAGGCTTTCTCATGTCTTTATGGCGACTGCCTTCTAACGGAACTCTGCCTGCAGTCCCCACAGTCTAGTCCATCTACCAAATAAGCTACCAGAATTATCTTCCTAATTGTGCCACACCCCTGCTTAAAGAAAAGTCTCTTGGCTCTCTTGCATGGACAAAATAGAATCTAGCTTGCTTGGCTTGGAATGCAGTGAGCTCTAAGTCTCCAATTTACCTTTTGTAACCTAATCTTCCACTTCCAACACACCTTAACAACCTCAACTTTTTACCATTTCTCCTGCAATAGCAGACCTTTTCCTAATTTTGTATTTGCCCAGGATGCCCTTTCCTCCCTGCTTCAACAGACTCGTTCGTACTTGTAATTGGATTCACTGAATATGCAACTGATGTGAACCAAGCACCGTGGCTAGACACCGGGCATACAGCTCAGAACAAAATGGTCAGGGTAAGGCATGCTCACGGCAGCTGTAGAATCTGACAACAGATATGCAATTAAAACAATTAGAGAATGTGATCTAGGTTATGAAGGAAATAAGATGACACGAGAGAAACTCTAGGGGGAATGATGCAGGCAGGCTTCTTAACTTCCTCAGAGAAGACAAATTATTAAAATGAGATCTTGTGGGATAAGGAACCAGTCATGAAACACTGAGACAGGGACTCCGAGCAGAGGGCGCTGCAAAGGTACCGTCTGTACCATAACTGTGTGCTAGACTGTAGGCACCGCACTCCTTGAAGAGAACTGTTTAGTACAAGTGTGTGTCCTTAGAATTTGGTTTAGCTGGCACTTGGTCATTGACTCAATAAAGAGTTGCTAAATTAAATGAGTAAGGACAACTAAAAGAGAGAATTATGGGGCTGGGGAATAAGTAGGAAGGGTAGACATTTTTCACGATTACAAATAAGAATCTTAGTAGCCCCAGACCACTCAAGTTCTCTAGCAGCATCCTATTATTTCCTTTTTTAACTGGCTGGTATGTTCTGCTTAGTGTTCCTACACCTAACAAGTTATTACTGGTAATTAGTTTAGACCCCCAAATCCTGAAAGGTAATTGTGTTTCAGGAGCTCTTACAAATACAGAAACATGTTTCTGACGTAAGGAAAGAATTGTTTTAATTAAAACACACATACAGATCCTCAGCACTTTTGATGTACATATTCCCTTCCCTTTCTCCTAAGAGTTACATTCTCCATTCTAACCCCAAGGATCCTTACACATCCATATCCTAAATTCATTCCATGATAGCTGGTTAGAGACTAGCTAACAGGTCAGTTACTTTCAGCACACATCAATCATCCAACTGAATGGGTATGATGGTAAAGCCATCGTTCCTTTCTTTAGGAAATGAGAGTGAGGATATAACAAAAGACAAATTAAGAATGTAACTTCAGACATTTGAAACTCTTCCAATTTAACAGGCCCCAGGCAAAAAGCCTAGAAAGAGTAAATTAAAAGGCACATGTTCTTAATGGACACACAAATTGAACAATTATCCAAGCAGTACTGTACTATGCACTAAAGCAGAATTTTCAAGACCACTGGTCAGCTAAAGGTTTTCTCTGCTATACTAACATAAAGCTTTACATTAGCAATATGCTGAGAAGATGATAAAAGTGTTATTCCCATGGCTTTTTATCAGTTACAAACTGTTGAGCTGTGTCACATACTTTAGGTCCCCCATCACTACCAAAAAAGGAGTAGAGAACTGCATTAAGAAATCTAGTGTACCTTTGAGATTAGCATACCAAGTTCATGCTGAGGAAGGTCTAATGAACTGGTGACTTTGCCTTCTCAGCTTGGTTGTGCCTTCCACATCTACCCTCACCTGCCACCAGCGGAGGTCCTGGGATATGGTCAATCCACCACGAGCAGTTAAAGGATGCTTGTTACAACATCACTAGGTTACACATGCATACAATAACTGGAGATAGTCAAGAAGCTCACTGTAGCCATAAGCTGGTAAGAAAAAAAAAAAAGGCTTTGTTGCTCAACGAAAATATGTGGAAAATTAAAAAGAATGGGGTGGTTCTTGTTCCACAAAAGCTTCAGGTTTCATGAATCTTAGCTGAGGTTCAAACAATGATGGGTTCTGTAAATGTTTACCATAGTCAAAAACCAAATTCCCATCTTCATATTTGTACTTTTGGATTACACACTAGCTTTGTCTTTATATCTCAAGGACAGCAACACCCGTCCCTAAGAAAGTGGGGTGGAAAGAACATAAGGAAACATTAACAATGTGTTAGTCAAACCTTTATTTCAAAACAGGCTTTTATTCTGGGCAATATGGACACCATGGAGACCTGTTTTTGTAAAAATTTCCCACTTCAGTCCTTAGAATATCTAAAATTAAAGGATATATGTAAATGTGTATGTATATATCAATATATCTATATCTGTATAGATATCAGTGAATTAGCCATGACCATTTCTTTGCTTATCTCAGTATTTTTCAGATTCAGAATCCATGATGGCTATGGGAATAATGTTAACAATACTTTATCAATACTAAATCAATCTGGCCAACGTAGTGATTACTCAACTAAATCAGCAATATCTACTAGACTTCATTCTCTTTAAACAGGAAGACAAAAGCCACGTCTCCAAATACAAGCATACTGGCCAATTTTCTTAGTGGGGAAAGGTATAAAAACCAATTAAAACCAACAAAAACAGCACAACATGGAAGAAAGAGTTGTAAAACTCTACTCCTGTACAATTAAAGCAAAACATATTTTTAATAGTATGTTTTATATAAACTTCTGTAATACACATTTTACAAAAATATTATTTCAGCTAAAAACCAAGAGCTGGATATTAGCCAAAAAGGGAAATAACAGTTTGCAATTCATTGAATAAATGAAAAGGCAGAAACATTTATTTTCTGTCATCAGTTTCAAGTGTCCATATAACTAAACTAAAACATTTGGACTTAACTTTAAAAAGCGAACCATTTCAATAACAGCCTAAACAAAGCCACAATTAACAAGTTATTCCCCTGATTAGGTAAGCCTCAGTATATGGTGTCAGTCTTACCATAAACAAATAATTTTCCAATCGTATGCAGTCACTCTTGAGCCACCTGAATTACTGGAGCAGAGCAGCAGTTTCAGCTACTTCTAAAATTACAAGAAAGCTACTATGTACAACATTTATAGTGACACAGAAAACTCAAGTTAAATGGCTTGACAAAGACATCAACAAGTTTCGAGTTTACCATTTCAGGTTATACAAGCAAAAATAGTGTCCTCTAAAGAAAGACGAACTCTGCTAAATGAAACCATTGGGGTCTATTCCTTTTATTCAGAAGCACCATACAGCAAAACAAGTGGTCAAGTCCACAGGGTAATAGCATTTCAATAGCTGCAACGTGGTGCCAGACCAGGCTTTGTTGGCCTTCCTTTTCCAAGAAGCAGAGATGTCTCTTTTTACTTAGTCCATCTGCCGTAAGTGATAACCAGATGCCTGTGTGATAATTCAAAATTAAAACAAAGTACTTCCCTCCCCCCCAAACCCAACAGCAGAGATGAATCCAACAGCCAGTGATCGCAAATCAAGAATTCCAATGCTTTAACAGAAAGTCCCCAGAAGGAAGAAACAAAGCATACAGCCGGTTCACCTTTAATGTGCTGCCTAGTAAGGCTGCTAGGAGCATCAGCTACTAGTTTTTCAGCTCACTATGCTGAGCATTGTTCTGGTGCTTTACACTTAGCTCTCACAGCAACCCCCCCAGGCTAGTACTAATATTAACCCCATACTGTGGTTGAGGAAACTGGGGAATCCAGGCAGTGAAATAACTTGCTCAAGGCCACATCACCAAGAAGCAGAAAACCACTGTGCTGAACACAGACAACCTGTATCCAGAGTCCATGCCCTTAAGCGTTGTATCAACCCTAATCCCAAGAAAGCATAACTGATTTTGATCAAAAATGTTCTGCCTCACAATGAAAATACCTGTAATTTATCAGCAAAAGGAGGTTAGCACCTGATTCTTTGGAATTATTTAATCAATAAAAAATTTTCGACTTAAAATACTAAAAGTCATCCACACATGTCCTGAGAAAACTCAACATCCACTCTGATTTGCAATACTCTTGACTGATGAATGAATCCTGTGTGGTCAAAGTCGCCAGCCAAACTTTTGTGCTGCATTTTTTTGGTGAAATTTTAAACAGTTTCATTATTGATTCTTGCATGAAGGCCGATCTGAACTGTCCCAAAATTTACATTACTGTATTTTTTAACATTTAATGGGATCCCTAGCAGCATGTCTCCCATACAAAACAAGCCACTTAAACCAAACCTTGAATTTTATCACCAGTCACAAGATAAAACCAGATGAATATAATTTCTGATACAACCTGTTTCTTTTTCATTAATGACATACTTCTGGAATCTTGGTTTTTCCACAACCACACACACACACACACACACACACACACACTCCGTCTCCCTACTTAATAAAAGGCTGTATCACAATACAAAAGTCAAATTTGCATACGTGGCCTGGAAAGACCTCAAACACACACATACTTTCTTTTTGAAACTGCTCAAGGTGGTATTCTTGGGACAAGAGAAAAGACTGCATCTACTCAAGGCAGTAAATCATTATTTTTATCATCTGAATTGGTTTAAAAAAAAAAAAAGGCCCTAATCATGTACAAGAAATTTTTGCTGCTTATAACTTGTAGCCAGCATAAAAAAGTTGAAATTGTAGGCAACAAGAATTAGATTACTAATTAAATTAGATATCTGAAAGATTCCCCTCATCTACCAGACAACTCCCTGAAGTGGAAGAATAAATATGTATACATCCTTTTATTAAAATGTTAATCTTCAAATATGAACACACATGCATGACGTTAATATACAATAGGACAGCAACTCATGGTCCCGATCCTCGAGAAACTTCTAATTTAGCAGGCATGATGAAATCTGTACACCAACAGCACCAAAGTAACAAAGAATTTAAAATTCACATTTGTGATGTAATGTATGGTGACTAACATAACGTAATAAAATAAAATTAAAAAAAGAAAAAATCCACATTTGTGTGTCATGTTTTGGTATTCATGTACAGCATTTCTCTGCTATCTACAAGTGCACAAAAAGCACCTGAAAAGAAACACCTTTCATCCAGCTGTACATACCTGACGTGGCATCAGGCATATAAAAGGTGCAACAAATATAAATATAAGTTTCAGGAAATCCTTGTTTTTTAATTTAAATGTCACAACACAGCTATATTTTCAAAGCACTACAGATTTTTGGTTAGAGACACTGTGGAAATACTCTACTATAAATTCTTCTAAAGTCAATTTAAATTTTATTTTTCAAAGCAATAGTAATTTCATCACATAGTCGATTATGCAACGGAAGGAAATCAATCACCAGATATTACAGACATCCTTCACCTAAAAACAACACTGACACCCACTCAACTAGATTATACAATATTTATTTTAAATGATGTGCCACATCCATAGGAAATAACACTCTAAAAATATTCAGTTGCATATTGCACATGTATTTGTTCTACTTTAGAGCAAATTCTGCACATTCTATATATGTATATAGTAGGTCCCCTTCATCTGTGGGGGATATGTTCCAAGAACCCCAGTGGATGCCGAAACTATGTAATACCAAACCCTATACATAGTACGTTTTCCCCTATACATACATACTTATGACAAAGTTTAATTTATAAATTAGGCACAGTAAGAGATTAACAACAATAATAAAACAGAACAATTATAACAATATACTGCAATAAAAGTTACGTGAATGTGGTCTTTCTCAAAATATCTTCATGTACTGTACTCACCCTTCTTTTTGTGATAATGTGAGATGATAAAATGTCTGTGTGTTGAGATGAAGTGAGATGAACGATGTAGGCACTGTGACCTAGTGTTAAGCTACTATTAACATTCTGAGGATCATTTGCTTCCAGACCATGGTTCACCAGGGGTAACTGAAACCATGGGAAGCAAAACCACAGATAAACAGGGAACTACCATACATCCACAAAAATTTCGAGACAAAAATTTTCCACATCAAGAAAAATTTGTGGAAATCACTTCAGTTGTTCCCTCAAATTTGGCAAAATCTAATTTCAGTCAAATATTCAGATGCAAAAATAATCAGAAAAGACTAATGTTAAGAAAAGTGTTTTAGAATAAGAATTATGAAAATCTTAGGTTCAATTAAAAGCACGCAGTAAAATCTACAATACTCTTACCTTTAAAAAAGTGACTATGTCTACAGTTATAATACTGCCACGTGAACTTCTAAAACACCTTTAATTCTGAAAAGTTACAATATTTCGTACATGCCTTATTTCAATACAGTCTTTTGAGTCTTGGCATGAGGCTCCTAACCTGTTGTATTGCACAAATAGAATGAATACAGACATGTGACATGACCACTCCAATTCTCCAAATAAAGGGGAGGGATACAGAAGGAAAATACAACAAAGTAACATTAATGAAAAAGATGTATAGGCCAACCCCATATGTTGAAAACTCCATAAGAAACAAATAATACAAATAGCACAAAAAATCATTTTGACATGATTAAATAAGGGGAGGAACTAAAACACCACCCAACACTGGGAATGTTGTCGTAGAGAGCAGGGAACGCAGAAATTGGGACTGTTACTAAAGGTGGAAGCTAGGGCCTGACCCCCACTCTAACACAGAAGGGATAGAGGTAAACACAAATAGGTCTAGGTGAAGGGAGTATGATGGCAACCCTGAGATTGAGGAAATTCACTAAGTCTCATAGGCACTATGAAAATATTGGGACTCAACATCCAACAGCCTCAAGTGTGGTCATCCCCCAGGATATCCTTCCAGAAGAACAGCTTTATGAAAAGATTAAACAACAGTCTTGATTCATTCACCTAAAGGTGACAATACCGTGTTTTTCCTCTGAGGAGTCCTAAAATGCAATTTTAAGTTTCCCAATGTATATACTTCCATTAAAGGAAACTGCCCACCTCTTTGCACATCCGTGAACTTCCTTTAACAAGAGACACTGAACCTCAATTCATCTCAATTCCATGAAAATGCCTGAGTTAAAAACTCTATTCTGGCACCAGTCAACCAATCAAGAGCACTTAGTAGCAGATCATTACAGTTTCTGATTTTGATGGCAGAGAGTATGAAAAGAGGGGGCTGGGGATAGGATGACACATTTTGTTTTAAGACAAGCCAGGCTTAACAAAAAAAAAAAAAAAAAAAAAGCGGAGACAAACAGAGGCTGTGGTTGACATAATTGCCTCTCTGACTTATCAGTTTTATTTTCATCTTTAATCCTCAATTTTATATAAAGAGCTTTATTCTCACTGGACACAAAAATGATATTCTCTAGTAGGTATATGTAGCCTTTTCAGTATGCCACAGGGAAACCTCATTTACTGACCTGGAATGATTTGGGAAAGTATAAAACCATTAAATAGTGACGTAAAGCATAAAAAGGTAATATAAGCTGATAAATATGTAACTGGACGTTATCAGATTGTGAATAATTCTTCAGAACAGATATCAATAAAAGTCCCTTCTCCATTCGAATGAACTGCCATTTTCTGAAACTTTAACAGACAGCAGACTATGCTCCAATAGCTAAGTCTTTTCCTTACATTTATCTTTTTCAATTTTCTCAGGGATTCTGTAATTGGCTCTTCACACAAAAACCAAACCAAGCCTGTTTCCTTTTTCTTTTTTTTTCCTTGAGCCAATTTTAAGGCACTGTTCTTAACCCTAAATACACAAGCCCACGCTGGTTAACTGCCAGTGTCGCTTTGGAACTGCAGGTGACAGATGCAGCCAGAGAGCTCACAGATGTGGACTGGCTGCAGTGAGTCTTATTGCAATGAGCACACTGACAGAGCCCGCAGATGCACATCTCTGCAGAAGTCGTCTTAAAAACCGTCATTCCCAATTAAATTTACTTTTAGGGCTCTTAGTGGCTATCATTAAGCGCTTATCCCAATTCTTATCCTTGCTTAGCCCAACCCACAATTCATTTTATCTTCCTTAGTTCCAGACTCTTCATCAAACCTAACTTGGTTAATAGCAATAATAATAATAAAGCGGGGCTGTTGGCATTGCCAGCACCAGGAACCGCGAAGGTGCTATTTGGGAGCCTTCCCGCCGCGGCAAAGGCCGCTGGAAGTTTTCTGGTTAGCAATGGACCCCTAGCATCTTTGCAGGATCCTTCTTTCTCTGGGTGAGAGCTTCACAGAGACGGATGGGGAATCACCCTTCTCCTGTCTTTCCTAGGGGTGGCTAACACGAAAAATAAAATACCTCTTTTCTTATGCTACACCCTGCTCGATAACGCTCACAGGCAGGGACGCCCCGCCCCCACGCCGTTATCCCTGATGAGCTCCCCAAATATCACCCTGTCCTCCTAAGAAGTGGACCCTCCCTCGGCCCCCGGACCAATTGCTCCCACCTTAGTTCCTCTCCTCGGGTCGTCCGCCCCCACACCTCCCACCCACAGCACGGCCCGGCTCTCACACACCACCCCCGGCACTCAGGCCGCCCAGTCGCCCGCGCTCCCCACCGCCCAGGGTCGCCTACGGGGTTACCGTGGGAAGAGGGGGCGGCGGCAGAGAACGCGGCGGCAGCAGTGCTGCCGGTTACGTCGGACGCGAAGGATAAGCTGGAGGACAAGGATGATGATGAGGCGGGCGCGCTCCCCAGTCTCCATGGAACTCCCGCCCCGGCCCGTTGCTAGGAGCCCCCGAGGCTCGGGCTCCGTCTTTCGTGCTTTGTTGTTCCGGGTACTGGGCGGCCGCTTCTTCCCCGCGACAATAAATAGACCAGGCGCGGGGGGAGCATAGAGACAGAGCGCGGAGGCTAGAGCGCCGCCGGACAGGGTGCCCCTGGGTTCCTCGCTAGCCAGTCATTTCCGGCTCTCACTGCTCCCGTCACTTTCCCCCCGCCCCTTTCCCCACTTTCCCTTCCTCCTTCCTCGTCCCGCGAGGCAGGCCCCTCCCGCTCCTGGGCTTGGCGACGTCCGGGTTTTGGGGGCAGGGACTGTAATTGGGCTGGACGTATTTTGCTTGAGGACCGTCTAAAAAGATTTCGAAAAAAACTGCGTGACCTTTATACATTTTTAGCTGATATCTAAACTTAAGTACGTAATTCCTGGCATACAGTGTAATATAAAAGGACTTTAAATTTTTTTGTCAAAACCATAGAACCTTCTCGTTAGCTCATTCAACTTAAAGGTCCACCGTTTAATTAGCAAAACTAGTTCTCAACAACTAAATTTATTTTCTAAGACATTTTCTGTCTGAAAAAGTCCTCTTTCGCTTTTTCAGTTAAACGCGTTAATTTACGACGCGATAAAGCTTTCATTAAGGAATTCTAATTCTAGTCCTAAAATACAGCGGCAGGGGATGATAGCGGACGGATGGATGGATGGATGGATGGATGGATAGATAGAAAGATAGGACAGGGAGATTAGGTCATACTTCTGTCGCCTCTCCCTTCGCTATTCCTTACTCAACTTGGGTTTGTGGCCAGGGCTCCGCTTTGGAGCCCAAGCACTTCAGTGGCTTTTTCGCGGTGTAGCCAGATCCAGGAAGGATGGACGGGGGAAGAGGGCTGCTGGGCTAGGGCTGGGGCGCCGGGCAGAGCGGTGGCTCAGGCCAACGGGCGTAGGAGGGCGCTCACTCGCAAGCTGGGCGCCTGGGGACTGAGACCCTTCCACGACTCTGCGCTCAAGTAGCCCTGGAATGATCCGGGGACCCCGGGAGGCGCACACTCGCCAGTTTGAACGGCCGCGCTGGGGCCCGATGAGCCCTCGGGGGGTGGCCTGAGAGACGCTACCGGCAGGAGCGAGACTCGAGTAACGGCCTGGGGAGCGCCAGGCAGTGCAGAACCCTGAGACGCCCCCGGAGCCCTACTCTCAGGCAGGCACGGGCCTCTGTTCCCGAGCTCAGTTGCTGTAGTCAGAAGCCTCTGACCCTGGATGAGGCCAATGGACAGCTCTGATTTAATAAAAGGCAACAAGGCAGAATCATGGGTACCTGGCCTCTGATTGGTGTGACTCCTGGATGAAAAATGATAAAGCCACTGTCCTTTTGGGAGAAAAGATGAGAGCTGACTTCAGAGGATTTGGGAGTATGCAACCATTTGGGTATTTTATTATTTATTGGGTCTCCAGGAATGCCTCTTGATCTTTTGCTTCCCGCTCTGTTCAGAAAAATATCTGAGCATTTAAAAGCCCTGTAGATTTATGGAATTTCCTTGTTTCAATTTCTGTACTAACATTTTCAAATAATATTAAATAATTGTAGCTTGTGTTAGGTGTAAGTGAAGAAAATAAACAAGAAGTTTGATTGGAAAGATGTCTGCATGTTAGTGGGGAGATGACTTTTAGGAGGTAACATCAGCTGTTAACTGAAAGGGATGGGAGTGGAAGGGATGTTCATAGAGTGTTACTGGCAGACGGAACAAGATGCTAAGAGTTTGCTATGCTAGAGCATTAGAGTGGATGGGGCATCCTGATCAAATCGAGGGAAAGAATGACATGAGATGAAATTGGAGAGAGACTAAGGCCTTACACCTCAAGCCTTGTAGACATAGAAAGGAGATTGGATTTTCTTCCAAGTGCTAGGGGAAGTGAAGTGTTTTAAGCTGTAGCATAACATGGTCTGATTTACCAAGGGAATATCAAGGGAAAGGCCCTAACCCAGTAATTAGTGTCACTGCTGAAAAGTCAATTTTCCTGCACTTGTGACCAATTTTAAGGTCTTCATGAGGCAACTTTCTTTCAGCGGACTAGCAAGATACCTGGTATAAAGCATGTCAATCGTTTTGGAATCCCTTTTGTCATACGATTTTTGTCAACGATTTGTCTCACTACAACAGTTCCACATTCTGGAAATGGATTTTGATTTTTCTGCAAGCATCACTCTCCATAGACCTATTGAATGTCTATACACTATCACATTAGCCCATACACCATTCCTCAGCCCAAGGAATTCACTTCATGATGAAAGAAGTAAGACAATGAGATAAAGTCTGTGAGCTTCCTTGGTCTTAGAATATGCTCCATTATTTAGGTGCCAGGTAAGATTATAATATTATTCATTATTCAGGTGCCAGGTAAGGTTAGAATATACAGTATATGTTCCAAACCAAGACTCCCCATTTACACATAAATTGATATCGAGGCTGGGAAAATAGTGAGATTTATCTGTTAGATCAGTACTACTTAAAATGTGGTGTATGGACCAAAGCCAGTTTGCAAACTGCAGTGAAATCAGCAATGAAATAAGTATAGAAATTGAGAGGAGCATTTCAAAACTTCTAGTAATTTGACATTAATATGGAATCCAAGCATGCAGCTTTATATTTATGAAAGCATGTGCCTGCAGTGGGTTGCTAACTAAAAACAACCAAACAGCGATTCTTCACAACAGATAGCTATGCCTACTAAGGCTTCTAGCTTTATGAACTTGGTTAAAAAAAATCAAGCTATTGGAATATATTGGCTACTTATCGCTTCCTTAGTGCTATGAGAGAGACAAACTGGTTCAGTAGAGCCATTCTGAAAGAGACGGGCAATGGGAGGGTGCTACTGATATAGCTGTTAAGAGGAGTCCTTTCTGCCAGTGGTTTAGTTATCCTATATTGATCATGATCAGATAATATCTACGCTGCCAATTGAAACAACTAAATTTTCTGCCCCCCATAAGGTTCATACACTAACCAGGAATGCAGAGACCCAGCAGAGCAATGGAGTCAGGGATGTCTCATTCCTCAGGACTCTTCTCAAATATCTTCTCCTGCGCCCCCTTACCAATTGAAAAAGGTAATTTCTCCCATTATACCAGTTGAATGGTGCACAAGTTAGGGGACAGAGTCTGAAGCTGTAACCTGGCTTTACAATCCCGCCTGTTTCTCTCCCTATCATCAGGTAGAGTTTGTGGCAAAGACAATGAACTAAGATGCAAGGTGATTGGCAGAGTTGCTAGGCCAGTTTCCAAGAGATAGAAACAAGAAGGGCAAAGTCCCTATTCAAAGATTACTATCTCAATGAGATTTCTGATAACAACCTAATGGATTTCCCCCAAAATGACATTGACTGACAGCCAAGTAAATTTTAAGGGATTGCCAGAAAGCCTTCGTCCTTGCAAAAGGCCTCTACCGGTGTGCTTGTCAAAGACAACATCCCAGTCTCGGTATCAGCAGGAAGATGAATTCAGTTACCAGAGCGGTCCCAGGAAATTCCTTCTCACTACTTCTCCGAGGCAGGGTCTTTGAGGATAATAGATAAAGGAAACCTTGACACTTTGAGTGGCTGACCAAAGATCTCAATTCTCTGCTGGAGAAGAGAAGCCTTCTTACCCTTATTCTTGTCCAACAGGATATGGTATATGCTCAACCATTGCACAGTGAGTCTCCTTTTTGCCCTTTCTCATTAGTTTTTGTTATCCTGTTCCCCACCTCCTCTATTATATATTTGTGCATTGGGGGAAAATGCATTATTTATCATTTAGCTAGATCAGGACCTTATCAAGATTGACTACACTCAAAGATCCTGAATTTGGGCTGGATGTGACTTTGAGTTTTCGCCTCCCACTGCATAGGGATTAAGCACATTTTCAATTGCATAAGGTATAGTTGCTTTATGTTAAGAGAAACTATAGATCTGTAAAAACCAGTGTGTGTGTGTGTGTGTGTTTGTGTGTACACATACGTGCACTGAACAGTCAAAGGATATCATGTAGGAAACATTTATCATTTTGTCAGCCCAGAACACCTCTCTTCCTTTAGGAAGAGTACTCTTACCTCTTATTTGGGGAGCTATGTTTCCTCTTTACCTTCCTCCAATCCAATGTGCATCCAAATGGGAGTTGCAGTAGTGATAATGATTGGCAGAGAGGCAGGTTTCTGAGCTAAGCTGGGGCAACTGTATTGAAATTGAGTTATTGCTCCCAGTTCCAAATTCACTTTATGTCTACTCTGTGAAGATGGATCTTAATCCTTTAAATATTCTTGTTTGCTAGCTATCAGAATGTTAAGTTTTATCAGTAGAAAAGGCTGGAGAGACATTGAAGCAGGAAAGGGCTTTGCTTCCTGCTTCCAGTGTACCTCCCTGACAGGCTCCGGAAGCATGGAAGGCTTCCCTAGAATCTACTTCCTACAGCACAGGTGGCTCCCCTATGGCCACTCAGGGGTCTGAAGGACAGTCAGTGGTAAAGGAAAATCTTCCAAGGGGGCATAATTAGAATAGTATATTTGTTTGTGCACCATGTCTAGGGTGAGGGGTGACCAGAATGGGCAATTGCTAATGGTTTTTCTAGACGTACAGGGATTTGTAAGGAATAAGATTGGAAGATTGGTGACAAGGAAGTGTGGGGAAGAGATATATAGATGAATTTCTCTAAGTGGGCACAAACTGTGATGATATCTGTGTCCTATTTCGATGCACAGTAAAGGTATCCATTGCAGAGGAGACTGCTAATAATCAGGTGGACAAAATGGCACTATCTGTGGATGTCAGCCAGCCTCTTACCCAGCCATCCAGGGCTTGCTCAATGGGCCCTGAACAAATGGCCATCCTAGTAAGGATGCAGGCTATGCATGTGCTCAACAATCTGGACGTCTCCTTAACCAAGGCTTATCTTGGTACTACTGTTAAGTGCCTAATTTGCCAAGAGCAGAAAACAACACTGAGTTCTTGATATGGCCCCCTTTCCCAGG